TGCTGTCTGGTTTTCAGCTGAGGTGATCAAAGTGACTGTGTCAATCATGTGTTCTTTTTATTTTTTAAGTTTCTATTTTGCTACTCTGATCTTGACTAAAAGGAGTAACATGTTCAATCTATGGGTCAATGTGAAAGGTATCATAGAAATCATGAACAAGGAGATATGAACAAATTTGGGATTTGATGGGACATGATCTCTGCAAGTTAAATACAAAAGCACTGAAAATGGCATTCATTATGTCAACCCTTCCTATTGTAGTTAGCATGACTTCTTCAGATGGCTCTTACCCTTGAAGCCATCATTAACTATGGATTCCAGGGTGGTATAGGAAAGGTGACAAGCTTCAAAAGGGCCAAAAATGTAATAAGAGCTGATGTAGTCCTGCTTGCTGGGCTTATTGCAGGTGCCAAGCATTAGACTATATCTAAAATCTAAAAAATAAATACTGTAATTTTTACTTTTCAGATGACAAAATAAAAATTAATCCAATAGCTTCATTAAGGCCATGTAGCCAGTGACTAGGAATCTTGAATGCCTTGGTCTGAGGTTAACATCTACGCCCTTTCATTCTTAGCATAGCACAACAGCAACTTGAGGAATACTGTAGCCGGAGATGACAGCACAAAGCCAGTTGGAAGAGAACTTCTAGCATACTTCTATCATACAGAGTAATGCACAGGACTCTCAGCATCTTCTGTTTGGTTGTTTTGTTAATGTTTTTTGAGACAGTGTCTCGTGTAGTTCAGGCTGGCCTTATGTTTGCTGTGTATCTGAGGATGGCCTTGAACTCTTGATCCTCCTGCTTCCACCTCCTGAGTGCTAAAATTAAAGCACACAGCACCATGCATGGCTTCAGTATCTGTTTCTACCAGCAGAGGTTTTTTTTTTTTTAATTTTTAAAAATGATTTATTTAATAACAACATACTTAGAAGAAGCAGAGGTTTTAAGTGTCATCAAGTGTCATGAGATTGATATATCATAAAGACTTTCTGCTATGCAATTTTAATTATAAATTTCAACAGCCTTCTTATGGTTTAACAAAATCAAATACTTGGACCAGTTTCAGTCTCTAATAAACAGGGATAGATAATATAGGGTTAGATGTTTTCTGTGTAAATGAAGCTATGGATTCCACAAAAGTGAAATGCTAATAGCCCAAGCTTCCTCATTAAAAGTAGACAGTGGTCAGGAGGAGTGGAGACTTAAATCTAGGAGACTGTATGTTGGGAAAGGAGAATTAGGAAAGTATATCACAGTGATGGACTTGAATAAAATTACATCTTGTCTAAATAAATACTGAAACATTCTAGAATCCTTTGGACCTCGATTTGTGTTTCATGTAGGCAAAAGTGGTTCCAGAGTGGAATCAAAACATGTTAGAGACTCTATGATTTGTATTTGTATTTTGTGAATGTGTGGGGAATTATTTGTATCTCTTTAATATCTTCTTACATCTCATTTTAACCCATGACTGTACCTTTCCCCCCGCTCCTAAACCCAAGAAAAATTGTATTCAGGATCAAGGACAGATCCAGTGTCATCTGGGCCTCTGAGGTTTCTCCAGGAGCCTTCTCTTTTCTCCTACTTCCCTACTGGGACACTGAAGTCCTGGCATCTTGTGTTATCTCAGTTTTTCATAAGAAGGAATAGAAGATCAATTAGTGTAGATGGACCTCATGGAGGAGGGAAGAGTCTTCAGTATAGTGAGAAGGAGCTAAAAGAAATTCTTCCTCTGGGGGCCCTTTTTTATCAGAGGCCCTTCATCTGCTAACAAGAACTAGAATCATCAGTAACACTATAGCGAGTGACTGCTTTTTTAAGTTATTCTTAGCTATCAGAGTCCAAAAACCAAAAACTTCTGAGTAATTGACGCTACATAGCACATGGTAATTTTTCCAAACTATGATTTTATTGTTAATCTGCTCTTTTATAATGTTTTGTACTCTCTGAATGCTGGGAAAGAAAATATATAAATGTTTTTATTTAGAATTCCTTCATAATCTTTTTTCTTCTTTTTTAAGGATACCTTCTTTTAAAATACAGAAGCTGCACAGGCAGTAGGGAAGAAGACAATTTTTTCTATAGCCAGGATCTATAACGATAATGTGACCTCTTCTGTGGCTTCCCTTTTCCTTGTCTTCCCTGATCCATGCCCTGGTGACCATATAGATAGGTGTTTTGAACACCATAGGTATTCATGAGAAGCATTGTATTGGCTCTGAGTACTGCATTTTAAGACAGCCACTGAGGTATTAATTTGGATGCAGAGAAAGGAAGATGTTTACAATTGGAAAGTCACAGAATGTGCATCTTCTTACTGATGCTAAAAGCAACCAGTGATGTTGGGAGAAAACTATGGTGTTAAAAGATACTTTAAGTAAACTGTGACGTCTTCTTTATCCACAGGATTATTAGCTAGAGCATTATTTTTTTATATACTATCAGTCCTACAACTGACAGCAATATATTCTCATTACAAAGTTTATTTGGGATGTTATCAAAACTCTGAACATTAATGATTAGACTTTACAGGTTAGGAATTACAAGAATTGATCATATTTAGCAATGGGATAAACTGGGTCCCTCCCATGAGGGCAGAACATAGTGGAGTGAAAGCTCTCAGAAAAAGCAAACATATGAGAAGGTCCAAAAGGAAAGACTGAAGTCCAATGATAATATACAAATCTCTCAAATAAATGCTAAAGGACTTATGTGGAGAAAGAGAAGTTTGCTAGTAGCATCCCAGTTTATAGCTGACTGTGTTTTTCTCAACTCACCTGGTTTGGGGAAGTGGCTTTATAGTACTTTTACTAATACAAATGATTAAATAGGTTGCTTAATAATCTGGGGGCCCATGCCCACTTAACTCTCATGGATAGTAAATATTTACTTACTGAGCATTTACAGTGCCCCAAGTACTGTTCTAAGATCCAGATACAAAAATGATGAGCAAAAGTAAAAAGTTTCTACCCTTAAGAAGCTTGCAGTCTAATAATTACTTAAATATTACAAATAAATATGTAAAGAATTTATATGAGCTTCAGTTAAAAAATAATTTCCATTTTACATGTAGTCATTGCCTATCAATTTTTATCTCATGTCCTAAAAAGAATTATAGTAATAAAAGTGTATTTTAATAACCATAAACATCAATTATAATTTATATCATCTTTGTACAAATTATACCAATTTCAAAAATTAAGTAGAAATAGTTATCTTTTTCTAGAAGTCTTTCACACATTGTGGTTTTTAGAATTGTTTTTATTCTGGAAGTTGGATCTGTTGCTGCCATTTAATTCTACCCAAAATTCAGTTCTTGTGTTAGTAAATAATTACTTGTACATTTTGGTGTCCATTTGAGTATGAACATTAGGAGTCTAGTAAAATACACAATTTTCAAATTTTAATGCTTAAAAAATGGTGCAGTAATGCCATGAAGTAATCAAAATATTAGAGAGGGGATGTTAGAGGTGATCATGTTTACAGACCACTTTTCAGGTGTGAACTAGAGGCAAAGTGACTGTCTTTGGTCTGGAGACTGGGCCCTGTGGTCGGCAGATGGTGTTCTTGCTGCCACCCGTAGTTTAATGTTCTCTGCCACTTGAATAGACTGTGGGCTAGAATGAGATCCAATAGAAAGGCTGAAGGTAGTCCTGATGCTGTGCCTGATGAGTGTGCATAGGACCTTTCCCTAACTCTCTTGGCCTACTAAATGCAAGATGTGTGTGTTACACTGATCCATTTACTAAAATTTCCAGTTAAATTAATGTTCAGCTAAATCTTAGTAAACAGATTATGCTTCAAATTTCCACTCAGCAATTAGTTAACTTTCTGAGGGTCAATAGCATGGGCACAATAATGGTGTGGGGGGAGGGGAGGTGGAGGGGTGTGCAAGCATGCCCATGTGCACCCAGATTGTACACACTGTGTTATAGCATAACACATTTTAACTATACAGTTCTCACAACCCCAAGATACTTTATTGTCCCATTTTACAGAAGATATTAAAGACAGATTATGGAAGTTTCAGGAAGATTACAAAGCTCTTTAGAATTTGAGTCAAGCAGGAATCCAGCTCTTAATCCTGCCTGATTTAACATGACCTTAGTCTGACAGCAGGAGCCACAAACCCAGACTACATGATCTGTCCAGGAGCGCAAGTCTGGTGAGGGGGTGGGTGAGTCACACTTTATGTCTCAAATACTGTTGTTTTACAATGTAAATGCTCTTCGAATGGCTCCATCTGTCACCCAAGCTCTTAGTCTGACATTTGTCTTACAATTAAAAATAGTTTATATACTTAGAGAAATAGGTGGTGTTAAAAACTAATATAAACAGGCATGTTAAGTTTTCCTTTAATAAAATAACTTGACAAAATTACCCTTTATTTTCATTTAATAGTGATTTGATATTTGATTTTCTATGTAATACAAAATAGTAAGCTTTTTTTTTTTTTTTTTTAATGCTTGTCGGAAGCAGTGCTTTTTCATAATGTTAGATCTTTGGGACTTTCTGATGCAGCCAAGGTATTTTCATCTGCCTATTATGCTTGTTATATTGCATAATCCAAGTGAGATTTTTAAAAAAGAATGTCCCTGATGTTGACTGCTGATTTGTTCTTTGTCATTAAGGCAGATAGACCAGGCTGTTCTGACAACACAGTGAAGATCATTTACCTACCTTTTTCTAAAAACTTTCATTTTGTCTAACCTAACAATAATTTCACTGAAGTAGAAAAATTAAAATTGCCTTTGACAGTAATGACACCAGGTTTTCCTTCACAGAAATTCAACAAAGTAAACATCTTAACTGTGACTTTGCAAGGGTCAGCTGTGCTTTTAGAAAAATGTTTAGCAGGTTCCTAAGGCTTTGTTTTCAAGAAAAATCTTCCCCTTCTGAAGCAGTTTGTGGTTTTGAAGTGGAATGTGAACAAGAGAGTCCACCTAATGGAATTCACAGCTGACTCATCTCTTTTTCTCTTTTTTCTCTCCTCTAGCTTTTTCTCTTTGTTGTCTGGAACTTTGAGCTCTACACGATACCACTGGTTTTGTTGTTGCTATTGACATGGAACTACTTCTTGATAATATCAGGGAAAGATAACAGGCAACGTGACACGGTAAGTCTCCACTTTCTTCCTTGTGTGTTTTGTTCTTGTCCTAGTCCTTCTGATAAGCTCAACATTGAATTTGGTCTTACAAACCAGAAACTCTGTTTATAAATATTCAAGGTTAGAGGAAAGTTTTGTCAGATCAAACCCAGCAACTCTTTGCTCTTAACAAAATACAAAGTATCCTCCTATCTGACAATATAGAGTACCTAGCCATCTATTTCTGACATTACTCATCTTGGCACAATCTGAGGTAGGGAGTACACCAAGACTTGACCTATGATTTTAAATCCAAAATGCTATTATTCTAATTCCTTATTTCTTTAATTCTCCTATTTATTTTATGTCTTGATGAATCCTGAATTAAGATATAATGTCACAAAATTATTAATGATCAGATCAAGTCAATGTATTTTATTTAAGACAGCTCTCTGTGCATTGTCATTAGAAGGGGTGAATATATGATTGTTGGTCTGGAACTACAGCAAATATGTGTTTCTGCATCAGGGTTTATTATGATTCTGACTCAAGGATGAAGCACTAAGGAAAGTTATTTAACCTAGGGAAAGTTAAACTAAATCCACAGTACCCCCCCCATTTACATTAAAAAAAAATTGGGCCAGGCATGGTGCTGCACACCTTTAATACCAGCACTTGGGAGGCAGAGGAGGCAGATCTTTGTGAGTTCGAGGCCAGCCTGGTCTAAATAGTGAGTTCCAGGACAGCTGGGCCTATAGGGAGATCCTGTCTCAAAAAGACCGAAAAAAAAAAAACTAACAACAACAACAAAATACTGGAATGCGTGAGACAAAGAGTTTTAGATTAAGATGCAGAAGCTCATCTCACTAAAACCACTTTTGTTGTCCATCACTTTTTGTTGGACAATCCTCCTGGATTGTTTCAGTCATGATAGTCCTAGCAAATATAGTTGCAGAGGTTCTTCCCTATACAAATAAGTGAGGGATAGCATCTTCCCCAAGCATAACATTTGAAATTGTATAACTTGATGGATAGCCATTGAAAAGAATTAAAAGTAGATGAGAGTCTGTTTGGTAGCTATATGTCCTCATTCAATTGCTTAAGTTTTAGATTTTTACAGTCTCCATTTGATTTATGATCAAGAATTTTTGCCAGTTCCTATGCTCATAATAATTCAGTCATCTGGTCATCAGTTCAAAGTATTATACAACACTTCATTGCAACAGTAAACATCGTACTAAAGGAGGCACTGACTTGCCTCTGGCACAAAAGAGCTTCCTTTGAAGCAATGTGTATTTCAAATGGAAACATAAACAAAATATGTCTCTTCAAAATAATTTTACCATCATGAAAGTAAAAGATAAATAATAATATACAACCACCAAATACATTGCAGAGTTGTGTACTTACCTAATATATTGCTATCTCTCCTGCTATATTATAGTAAGTTTGAGGAAACAAACTCTTTGATCGCCTTTGAATTTGCCATGTCCTCTAGCACATGCTTCACAAATTAGATATGTTGCAAACATTTCTGTGTGTGTATGTGTGTGTATGTGTGTGTGTGTGTATTTTACATGCATGTGAGGGTGCAGGTGTGCACACCTATGCATGTATCCATGGAGACCAGAGGAGAATGTCAGGTAGCCTCCTCTTTCCTCTCAGCCTTATTGCCTAGTACAGCATCTCTCACTGAACTTGAAGCTTGTCGTTTCAGCTAGCCTGGCTGGCCAGGGAGCACTTGGTATCCAGCTGTCTCCACCCCTCACTCCTGGGGTTTGTGGCACACACAATCATGCCTCCCATTACAGAACAGTGTTTTTATTCTCTGAGTAATCACTCCAGGTCCCAAAATACATTTTTGCAAACTATATCAAACCAAATATAAGATTAGAAATAGAAATGTTAATGGTTAAGCAGCATCAATATATATATATATATATATATATATATATACATATATGGCACTCTGAAAGACAGGCCCCTAATGCTATACGCACTGGTGTCATGGGGACTGATAGGTACATTTGTCTATTAATCCAGGATATTTTCTCTAAGAAAATGAGGCTCTCTCAGATAATTGTTTTTGTCCCATTTATTTCAGGAGGTTGTTGAGAAAGAAGACTATCTACTTTTCATTCAGTTGTCTTGAGCCATATTTGCAAACAAGATTATTTGCAAATATGAAAAGGTAGTAATTTAGTTTTAGCTTCTAAATCCTATGAGGGAATTTATCTTGAATATTTAGCCATTGGTTTGAGAGTTCTTAGTGAAAAATTCTGAAATTAGGCTCTGCTATTTTTTCCAGAACATACCTGACTTGTCCAGAAAAGTCTATTTTTAAAAGAGAAATAATAATATATTATGTAGCTTGGTGCTTACAATTCTCTAAGACTTTTTATAAGCCTATAGAACTATTACATAACATGTAATTAAAATTACATAACACAATTTTTAAACTGCCCTTTATCTTTTACAAAATACAACTCCAAAATAGAATTTTCCAGATCTTTCTTTCAAGCATGTCTCTTCTAACAGATTTTCTTTTAGCCATGGACAACATTTTATCCCCTAGCATAGCCCACTGTGAGACATTCTATAGTCCAACTCCCACGGAATGTCAACTACACTCCATAAGTCCCAGTAATTGCCTTTTATTTTCCCAAAACACACATATCCACATATTCTCTTCTTTCCAGGCACCAGAGGAGCGATCACAACGTTTCATTCAACTTCTCATTCACTGGCTCAGTTGAGACCTTACGTAACTCTTAAATCCAATTTGTCTAATTATGTGTTTTCTGGCATACCCAGCTGTGCATTTTAACTGGTTGCTCCTTTTGAAAAGAAACCTGGATTATACTTTGCTGGTTACAGATTGTGTGTGTGTGTGTGTGTGAGAGAGAGAGAGAGAGAGAGAGAGAGAGAGAAAGAGAGAAAGAGAGAATGCTCATGTACACACACATACACAGTGTTTATAGAGATTGCTATACTATGACCAAGTGACTCTTCCACATGGCACATGACCCTGGAAAAATGGTGTTCTGCCCTAAGCTTTTATTGGTATTTCCAAAACAATGCTAAAACTTGTAGCATGCATGAAAACTATACAGGGTCTCTGAGGTGAATTAATCATACTGTTGGCTGACCCCAAACCAGAAAACTGGAGAGAGAGAGAGAGAGAGAGAGAGAGAGAGAGAGAGAGAGAGGCTTCCGTGATTTAGCTGAGAAAATTTAATTAGATGAAAACTAAAAGAAAAGCTAATCAAAGTCACTTTTAAATCTATACAGAAAAAAAGACAAAATGAAATAATTCTCTGACATACAAAGTTCATAAATAGATAAAAATTCGGTCAATGTATTGACTGATAGTTGAGATTAATGCTCAGTAGGAAAGGGATTCCTCGTGTGTTCATTGTCCTGAACAACATGAAGATGACAACAACGAAAAACTCCACTCTTCTCCTACCATGTTGCTTCTTCTCATTTAAGGGTGAAAATGAGATAGAATCTTTGCCCATTATATTTTTCTGTGTTTAAAAAGCTGACCCTCTTAAGGGCAGGATAAGTAGACAGTTGTTCCTGAAGGGAACAGTCCTCCTTAGCCAGGCATCCCAACCCCACTCCCTATCTTCTTCATCTGTATCAATTAAGGGGAAAAAAAAAACTTCTTGGAATAAGCATAATCACATAAACAGTTTCTTAAGAAAGGGGACTGAAGTCAGAAGTCCCATGCACACTTTATGAGTATCACTATTTCTACTTTACATTCAGGGAAACAGGGACAGAGAGGTCAAATAACTTACCCAAAGACCCGTAGATGGTGTCCCTAACCACCACCCAATTATATTTGCTTTCCAGGTTATATTTTTATGCATCCCACTTCTTCCTGGGCAAGTTTCTCCCATGAGTTACAGAGAAAACAGTAACACTAACACTGTCTTCACGCAGACATATTGATGGAAAACATTCATCCCCCCCCCGCATCTTACTGTTAATTCAGAAATGGAGCAGATGTTTATTAAACAATTTGTATGCATCAGATATCCTGCTAAGACTTTTAAAGACATCACTTCTTCTCATTCTTTATAATAATTATATCAAGGAAATAATTCTAAATGCCTTTATCCCTGTTTTACAAATGAAGAAATTGAAAATCAAAGATGAATAATGAACAGAGTAAGTGTGCTTTGAAAACCAAGTTCACCGTTCTCTGAGCTTCTGGCGATTTCTGTAGTACCCACTTGGTCATGTCTTTCCCAAAGTGTCCAGGTCTTTCCATGGAATGCCAGATATGCCAGATTCTTTCCCAAATGTTTATCAGTGGCTTCTCGAGAAATGATACCAGACATCTGCTCCAGCCCAGGTACTACCATTAATTTTGGAAGCATTTGTGAACTGGAGAGTGAAATTCCACTCACCCAGGTGAGAATGGGAGGCGTAACCCCGAGCTGAGCATCCTCCACTGTGGTGAAGAAAGCCTTTAAATTTCTTTGACATATGAAATTCCTCAAGCAGGATTTTTAATTGCACTCTAAAAGAACATTCATCTCTACTGTCATGATATGCCTCCTACACAGCAGTCTCAGTTGCCTAATCAATGGTGGCTTGAAAAAGACTGAAGATGGGGCAGATCAATGAAATCACTCTCTGACTCATGGTATGACTCTGACACAAATTCAGACAGTCTGCCTTGTGAAAACACTTGAGTAAATACTAGGCTGTTCAGCTAACTCCTCTCAATGATAAAGCATTAGAGCCTTCTTTTCTCCTCTAGAATAGTACTGAATATGTTTTCTTGTTGGATCTGGTTCAGTTAAGCCCAGAACACTTATCTTTAAAAATAAAGCTTATGAGAGAAAAAAACATTACCATAAATATTTTCTTGGAAATTTTGGAACGGTCCACCAAGGAGACATTTGGTGTTTGACTCGAATCCCCGTCAGTCAAACAAATTTATTACTTATTCAGCCAAGGCTCTTGATTACAAAGTAGTACATGATGGAATGCTTGAATATGTGGAACACTGA